CTTTAGGATCCACAGCTAAACCAATACCCAGATTTTCTGCTTTTTTGGCATTGAAATGTTGGTCTGCAAATTGAGGGAAAGCCACTAAAGGAACTCCGTGGTATGCTGACTCATAGAGGCTGTCGTGTCCAACATGGGAGACAAAAGCTTTGATATTCTTGTGGGCCAATAGATCATTCTGAGGTAACCACTCCACTATTTTTATATTAGATCCCAAGAAGGATGGAATATAACCTGTGAAAGCAGACAACTAGTTATAGGAAACACAAGGAATCAAATTTTGCCTACAATCCACAAAGCCGCAAACAGATTAGCGTTCGGATCTTTTTTCTGTAGGAGAAAGCAGCGTGTATGCACGCCTCACACATTCATCAACAAACATTTATTTCAAGTGCAAGGCTTAATTAGGCTTCTCATGGCAGCAACGGACGATTTTCAAAGTTGCTTTTTTTCTCGAGAGAAAGCTTAAGTCGTTCCAGTCTTTTCATCCTTTTCAACCATCCATAATGTAGTGATAGTTTTCTGTTTCCTTCAAACTGAGAAACGATTGGAAAATCTGATAGTCACGACGTAATGTAAATCTTTAATTGTTATTTGGTAGAGTGAGGAATTTCCATCAGTGCGAAAACAAAACTGTGTCATTTAGGTAAAAGAATTATTTTAAAGTAAACGTCTAAAGGAAAGTAAATATAAAAAATATCATTGATACCTTTTAGTCTCCAAACAACTCTCTGTTTCAGCTTTCCAAATGCTGTCGCTAACGTGTCCACTACTGTTCTTGGAAGAATCGAAGCCAAGTTTGATCCAAAAGAAACAATGATAAAACCATGCCCTCCCGAATCATTTACGAATTCTTCTAGATCAGGAGGGAGTGGTTTACCTTCTTTGACATTCAGTGGTCCAACCATGACATTCCCTTTTGAAAGTAACGCGGACAAATATGCAATATTTAGGAATGTATTTTGTTTAACAACAGAAACAAAGTGAGGAAGTGCAAATCTTAAAGGCTTTCCTTTCTTTCCTCTCCTTTTCCTCTTAATTTTCAACTTCTTTCCCCAGGTTTCTTCACTCACCTCGGTTCCACTTTCGCAGCTTGTTTTATAATGTCACGCAACACTCCCCATGACAACC